AGATTTGCTGTAATACTTTTCAGCACAGAAATATGTTGCAAGGTATTATAAGGTATTTTGTTTCCCACTGAAAAGTAGTAACTATTTAACTGCACCCAAGACTATACAGTTGTTCCTAACACAAGAGACTGATACATTCAGGTGAAACTGCAAAGAATTAAGGCAGCAGATGGTAATTACTGATACTGGAAGTAAGCCTGAGTAAAGGTGGTTAGAACTTCAGTTTAATGTCTCATGTATGAGGTGTTGTGTTCACAACATAAAACTATCTCATGCCTATATGGGAATGTAGCTCGTTATGGATATATTTGAGGGGAAAATAATTTCTGCTAAAGCACAAATACCAACTTTTCTTGTAGATTTCTTTTCCAATAAAAGATTTGATTAGCCGTGAGATAACAATAGACCAAAATGTCGTGTGTATCAGCAGATAAAAAACCCTTTCCATATGTCTGTACAATGTCAGAGACAAAAGTCTGATATCCAGTTCATTATTTTTTTCTAATTGTTAATGATGAAGTGATGGCTATTTACTTGACATTTTATGCCACAGTATTAAGACTATGAGACACAGGATTTAATCCATGAGTCTGATCCTGAGTTTGTGCATGTTGAAAATACAGAGAGACTGTAAGTTAAATAAACAAATTCAATTTGAGATATGAAGTTTTAAAAGTCCCCTGTGCCTTAAGAAACTAAAATGATCCCTCTAGTACATGCTATTCCTGCCCTTTTGCTAGAAGCAACTAAGTCAATGAGAAGAGAATGAAGGTCAGTTACATATGCCATTTGACAATTTCAAAACACTAACCACTACAGTAATATATACAATGCTTCAATTGCATATACTGGACACCGGAAATGCAGTTTTCAAAGTGGTTATGTAAGTAAAAACACTAGATTCTGAAATCATGCTATCTCTTGTCTGTTGATAGTACTTCAAACTGTCCCAGTAATAAACGTTCCCTGTTTTCAAATAATGAAAGACATAATAAAAAAATACTAGTATGTTGCTTTTAATGTTACAGCCCATGCATCATACTTATGTCTGCAGATTAGAAATACACAGCTGATAGAAGACACTGAGAAAATGCAAATTATATACTCACAAATATGATATTTTTCTGCACTAATCACAAAATGCCAAAACACTTCATTTGTATATTCCTTTTATATCAAAGTATTAATCTGAATGTTGTAGTCAGAGCAGCAAAATTGTATATCCAGGATAAGTTACGAGACTGAAGTAATAAAGAAAAGCCTGTTACCATTCTCTAACCTTTACTCTGTCTTGTTGCCCATTTCACAAATTCATTCTCATATTAAAAGACAGAGCAGGATATAATTGTTCTGGACTGCAGTGTTTAGTCCACGCACTAGGTTTTAGACCAGTGTCACTATAGAACAGTCTGTAAATGAGTGTACTCAAAATCCCAAGCTGTGGCAGATATTAAACAGCTTCCCCAAGTTTCATTTTTTAAATAAAAATCACTTTTCCAAGTACCAAAGACTGTTTGCTTGGAAGGGCTGCAAAAATTCAAATTATGTGCAACTGAGAGGGAAATGATCCTGGAAATGTGGGATACGTAGTTACATATCAAGAGGAAATTATACTGGTTTTCTTTTTCCCTTTATACAAAGGCTTGTTTAACCACTTCCAACTCTGTTACCCAGAGCCATCTATTTCTGTGATTTTAGTTTACTTTATGAAATGTGATTTTACCTCTTCCTCTAATACTCTTCAAATACTTACTGCTTCTATCATTAACCCACTAACGAATCCATTATAGACTTAACACATTCTTCCCAAGAGTGCTTTTTACCTGAGACAACTAAGTCAGATTTCAATGTTCTAAGCATTAGGCCCAGTGTCTTAATCATGCTTATTTCTCTGAGGCTGGAATGGAAAATTACAAATGTTTTTCAGTAATAAAGCAATAATACTTGAAAGGAACATGTCCAGAAGTACAGACTACACATATGATTGCAGAGTATACCATTATTCTTTTATTTACCAGCCTTTCATTTCATTATGCTCTGAACTGATAAAAAAAAAATCCCAAAACTCAATTCAAACATTTTCTAGCAGAACAAAAATATGCGAATCCAAAAAGTACAGTAATGAACTAACTATCAAAATACACACCGGCAGCATAACTTACAACTGATCCTAAGAATAGTATTCCTTACAATGTTCAGTGAAGGAGAATATCTACTATGGGCAAATGCTATTTAGATTTGTATGTTTTTAAGGGACATCAATTACATGATTAACTTACAATCTCTTCAGAAAACAATGATCTTTTCCACCAAATTATGAGTTTAAAAGATCAAGGTAGTAGTTGGGCAGTTACACTCACAGCCACTAGATAAGAAAGTACATCATGCTGGTTTTCAGTACCACTCTTTACTGTTTATTGAAAGCAAAACCGTTCCATTAGGCCTTTCCTGATGGAGAAGTGACCCAATTAGAGTTGACTTACAAAACAAGTGGTCTAAACATCTTCAGAAAGTGAAAAAATGCAAGATACACAAATATATGAAAACATTCCTCCTATTTTCCAGATATTTTACAACGTTACTTACTATTTCCATCAAGATAAAACATATTGTAGCTAAGGGTCTCAAGATTCTAAGGGAAAGTCAGGTGTATTGTATGTCATGTTTATACTCATAATGTTAGATCAGTACTTGTTGGAATGTGTCATGGCAATTCTGAGATTCATTTTTATAGATGCTTCTCAATGGGGAAAGAAGGCAAAACCTCAGATCCTTCAATTTAAACTGAATACAATCATCAATTGTTTATTCATAAATATACAGAATAATGGTTTTAGTAAGTACTTGCTTAAAGAGATCTCACTTTTTCTAAGATTTTACAGAGAATGCAATACATTAGAAGAGCTTAGGCAAACCTAAGTCTTCTATAGCAATCACTATAAACTACTATGAAACTTACATACAATACAACAAAAAATTTCCAAAGCAAAATCTGAATTCTTGAATACAAATGCTGACAATGTATTATGAGAGTGCAGAACATCCTCTCCCCCTCCCACTCTTCATCGCTCTCATAAAAGATGCCACAGTGCTATGAAAAAAAATGTTTTAAAAGTCCTAAGGGAAAAGTTTCCTAGGGTCTTTGAAATTCCTCCTTTTCCTATTTCTTTACAGATTTCTAACATAACACTGTTCCTGCAGTTTCTCAACAAAGGCAAAAATAAAAATACCCTCTAGGTACAGTCTCTAGATTTTCTATTATAGTTCTCAGGTTCCTTTTGACTCTTGAAATAAATACAAACTGAAATCTACAGCTATATTATTGCATTTTATATATAGCTATTTTAATTTTAGCTAATCTTTCAGCATGAAGTAGTAGATGGTATTTGACTGCATTATTGCCCATACAAGAATCATATAGGGATGTGATTTAATGAATGAAATAGAGTGAAAATAATTTTAGTTTCATCATTTTTTGTCTACTTGGTTTTTTATTTAACTATAAGCACACACACACAAAAAAACAGTGCTTCAGTCTCCTATCTTTATGGTAAAAAGCACAGGGCAAGGAGCTACCACCTATCTATATGAAAAATTTACTGCAACATAGGCCCTGTCTGCATTTTTCCCTTTTCAAGCAAATATTTGAACACAATTATTCCAAGCTAGGTATTCCTTAATTTTCACAGCAAAATCAAGATGGATTTTAGAATACTTTTTACATTATAATTTTGATTAAGCAGCTAAAGTTTTGGCCATGGATGAGTCAATCTGTTCAGAGATATGGAGTCATATTACTTGCAGGGTAAAAACTTATCTTTGAGCTAGTCTGTTTACTTGAACAGACCTAATTATGAAATCAAATGTTGCTCCACCCCCTACTTCCTACAGGAAGAGCTATATGGCACAGGACCATATTCTATCATGCGGGTTATGAGGGATTTCAGTTCAAATTTTGTCTCCTACATGTATGTGTTTTCCTATATTTTTGTTTCTCCTTGGCTCTTCCTCCACCATCTCTAAGACTGTTCTTGCTATATAGAATTGTGGTAAGAAAACACCAGGACCTAATCCTAGCTAAGTGTCTCCAAACTACTACAACTCTTCATGAAGCACTGAACATCAGTACTAAGAACTATCTGGGAACAGAATCAGAAAATATACTCATCTCTGTCATTTCTAGAAACAGGATCGTGATTTTTTTTCTATACATTTCAGCTTAGAAAACACCTTTGCTTACTACTGATAGCAATGAAAGGTCATGGACCCAAAGCCAGAAGTTTATATTGTATGTAGTATCCCTACACTGCTTTCACCAATTTGAATAAGCATGGTCTGTATTTAAAATGCTCTTACAAATATTAAGTTTGGCAACTTGTAAGTACTACAGCCCTCTTTAATAATTAATATACACAAAATTATGATAGGTGTCAATACCTTACTCTTAAAGTACATGTTGTGTTCAACACAAGCACCATTATGGACAACTTAAACTCAGAGCAAAAAGATTTGTTAAAAGGCATATGACCTTCTTCCCACTACAATGGCCATCCCCTAATTAAGCAATGCATCTGATAGTCATTAACAGGAATGAGATAATGAATCACTTTCTCTCTTCTTTGTTAATTTGCTGTAACCAAGCGGCTAATGGATGTCAGAGCTGAGTGATTGCACTGATTATAGTGATTTATAGTTGCAAGAAAACAATTTAAAACCATTCTGATTATTCATGTTAAAGATGCTTTATGTTTTGTTTACTAAATGTTTTATATTCTCCCTCATGCCGCTCTACACAGAATGAGACAGGTCTTCCTGATAAACTTGGAAGTTCAAGATTTTTTTTTTATTGTTTCAGAGTAAGGCATTTCATTTTGTTTATAAAAAAAAAAAGTTTACCCAGTAGAAATGAAAAGCCTTAGGGTGGAAAGAAAACTTCAGTGGTGCCTAGTTCAAAAGAAGACGGAAATAAGAGGAAATAAGGCAAACTTCAAGCCACTTACCTTAGGGCTCCCAGTCCCTTCCTCATTCTCTGCAGACACATCAGTAGCCAGTATCTCTGCTTTGATGATATCCAGAGCCCTAAGAATCCAGCTGTGTTGCCGTTTGATTTGCCTCTGTAGTTCCTTCCATTGACTTGCAATCATCTGCAGCATGTCCTTCAGTCCTTCTCCAAAATGAAGGGGGAAAAAGTAAGAGCTGTAAACTCAACAGCATCTTTAAATATTGTTCTTTATTCAAAGAGTTAGCAGGATATTTAGAATAATAAATGCAACAAGAATTTTAATGTATTTTCTCAACAATAAATCTAAGCATTACTGTTGTTCATACTGCAAAACAATGAGGCCAAACATTTCTTTTAGCCATCATGTTAAATTTAGATTATGTTTCAGCTGACAATTTGAAGAAGAGAAAAATCCCACATAGAATGTGATTTCTTTGCAGTAGGGAACACTATGGTAATCTCACCTTCTAATATCTAGCCTTTATCTTGAAACATTTCATCATCTTCCAAAGACATTTTTCTACCTCCAACTCCTTTAAAGCATTTCTGTAGTTTAGACATTATTGTTTTCTATGTCTGTGATGACATGCACTACTCTTCTTTGCTATGGCTTTTCTATCTTTTCAGGGCTATACAGAGAAGTCAGTAATTTCCTATAGCTTTCACATTACACAGATCTGTCTGATGTCGTGAAGCAATAGACGCACACATAAAACATGATCAGAAAACAGTAGACCAAAGAATAACTTCAGCCTGGATGAAAAGCATGCTAAGTAGGCCAAAATTAAGATGGCATTCCATAGCAGCATATGCTGATTAAAACCCTATTATCATACAAGTCACACAAGCATCTAAAAATATAGGAGGTGGTGGGGATAAAGGGAAATCAGTTTATCTCTCTCCCACTCTTGATTTAGGGCCTCTGCAGAAAAAGACAACACTAACCAAAGGAAAAAGGTATTTTTAATTTTGATCTAGTCCTCATAAATATATTGTAATCAATGTAAGAATTAGTTTAAGTGGTAATATAAAGCTTTACCAATGCAATTACCCATGCAGAGTATGTAAATACATATATATATTTGAAATCCTAATTCATTATCTTAATGTTAATTCCATAGCACCTACATCAAAGAATGTGTCAGTGTGAAGTTTTCAGTTACATGATTTCAATTGAAACTCAGCTGAACAGCAAGACCAAAATAAAATGAACAGACTATTTGCAGGCAGTATTTCATTTTATAAGTATCACTGCATTGTATGCAGTATATGAAACATTTATAAATCTTGAAGGTCAATCTGATAATGTAAATATTAATAATACATAAGGAAGTGAATATATGCAGTAATTTACAGCAATGCTTCTTCATTCTTTAATAGTCTGGAGACATAAAGACTTGCAATATTTCAGAAGGATTTACCTGATTTGTGAGATACAATAAGCTCAAGAAGTTGACATCCTTCTTCTACCACTGCTTCTTTTAAAGCACAGTGGCTATCTACATTCAACTTAAAACTCTGAGAAAAAAAAAATGAAAGGAAAATAAGAGAGAAAGAAAACCTCAGCGTCAGACATTGGAGAGGCAGTTATCATAAAACACATACAAAATTATTTGCTGTTTTTTATCAAGAACCACATCCCTATTTACCCAATAGCCAAACTAATTTGTGATACTAAAAGCTATTGATATTTTGGATCTGGGCTCAAAATGTTTCCATTAGATCAGCAAAGTGCATCTGTGTTGAAACAGCTGACAAATCTAGACATTCATTAGGTTTTATGAAAAGTCACAACCCGTAGGCTATATCTGGAGTAACAGTGTTCTATAAAATACACTAAATTTATGCCACCACATATGAACTCTGTTTTTTTTCAGATTTCTTTGAAATGTTGGTGATAGCACTATTTATGAAACCATAAAAAAATTACAGCATTGAATATATTTGCCTTATGTGCACTCATACAAATCTATTAATATTGTGTTCCTGAGTTAACTCTCATATCCATTTTCAAAGAACAAATCAGTCTGCGTTAGATCTCTGCATTCTTAATTTGCAAAGCAAGGATTTTTCATGGGTTTCTTCACTAATGTTTTTCTTAGTTTAGAAAGGATCTCTGCTACAGCAGTCAATTAAATATTTTGTTTCTCTTTTTACTTATTTTTACAAATTGCATTAAAATCTATTAATAGGGAGAGGAACTGGAAAAATTATACACTATATATTATGACATTTAATACACCAATGATAACTTGGATACATTTTTTAATTATTTGCCAGAGCTTCTCACTATATTTGCCTGTAAGAAAAAGAAACAAAATACAAGAAAGAAAAGGGTATGTGCTTTAATAATAAATTGTGCGCAGACCTGAACACATAAATACACCACTTTTTCTCTTTGAAAGGTCTATGGAATAAATGGAAACAATATTTGACCACTTGGAAAAAAAGAGTTTTTCCTTCTGTGGGGAATGAATTAACTGGCAGAGATAAAAGGAGACTTTGAAAGTGTACATTCATAGCTTCTGGTTTTCATAAAACTTAGATATACTTGTCCAAATGCTACTGACCATGCTACTACTGGAGTAGCAGACACCACAAAATACTCAAAAGCCCTCAATTCTTAGGGAAGCAACTGTTTCCTTCCTTTCCTAACTCATGCAGTCAGGCTGATTGGCATAACAGAAAATAATATTGCCAGAATTGTAATAAAATTAGGTACTTTTACCGTATTTGTCATGGTTGAAAGAGGCACGTTGCTCAGAGAGCCTCTAAACAGTCTTTCAAGCAGCAGTGTACCTGACAGTGACAGAATGTTTTTGAGAATTCTCCATTCAAATAAGGAGCAATAAACAGGAATTGTGCTATCTTCAACATTATGTCTAGCCCAATTCTCCTTGTATGGACATCTGAATATACTGGTTTGTGCCAGCTGTTGAACAACTGGGTCAGCCAAGAGAAGTTAAAAAGGAAAAAGGATGTCTAGTTTATATCTGTACCTTGCTTAAATCTAGAGTTTTATGAATCCAAATCTAGAAGTCCTTTTTCCTTCGTAAAAGCATGTCTGAACAAGCACTGACAATATTTAATTTATTGTTTACTTAAAACAGGCTTGTACTGAATAGTTTGTAATCATGCACTTCACAGGAAATGCACTATGCGTGTGCCTCACACAGCAAAAGAGAACCTAAAGGACCTGAGAGTAGGTTGTATAATTTCATATAATTGAAGTCGAGTATAGATGCAGCTGGATGTGGCAGTGTCTCAAGATGATGTGGATGTGTTTGATAGGAAAATTGGAAAAGATGAGGTATTCTTTTTCATTAGGAAAAAAAAAGAGACTTGCTGTCCTAGAAAAGATTCATTTAACATAACGCACCAGATACTACAATACAGCTTGATTTTCAGGTGCACCTATTAACCGGTAATAATGTTAAACTGAAGTAGCAAAATATGATGAATAAAGATGGGGCCAAACTTTTGGGCTTTGACTAGCAATATTCTCCCTGTTAAAATTCTTATTTTATGGACAAATTATGCATGGCACAAATACTGTGAACATACATGAAATTTAGCAGAAATAAACTTTCATCAGCACAAAGGCATCATGTCATGGTTTCACCCCAGCCAGCAACTAAGCACCACACAGTCTCTCGCTTACACCCCACTCAGTGGGATGGGGGAAAGAATTGGAAGGGTAAAAGCTAGAAAACTTGTGGGTTGAGATATAGCCCGTTTCATAGGGAAAGCAAAAGCTGCACACAAAAGCAAAGCAAAATGAGGAATTCATTCACCACTTCCCATGGGCAGGCAGGTGTTCAGTCATCCTTAGGAAACCAGGGCTCCATCACATGTAACTATTACTTGGAAAGACAAACTCTATAACTCCAAACATCCCAAAAAGCTAGAAAACTTGTGGGTTGAGATATAGCCCGTTTCATAGGGAAAGCAAAAGCTGCACACAAAAGCAAAGCAAAATGAGGAATTCATTCACCACTTCCCATGGGCAGGCAGGTGTTCAGTCATCCTTAGGAAACCAGGGCTCCATCACATGTAACTATTACTTGGAAAGACAAACTCTATAACTCCAAACATCCCACTCCTTCTTTTCTTCCTCCAACTTTATACACCAAGCATGATGTCATATGGTATGGAATATCCCTGTGGTCAGCTGGGGTAAGTTCAGTCATCCTTAGGAAACCAGGGCTCCATCACATGTAACTATTACTTGGAAAGACAAACTCTATAACTCCAAACATCCCACTTTTCTCCTTCTTCCTCCAACTTTATACACCAAGCATGATGTCATATGGTATGGAATATCCCTGTGGTCAGCTGGGGTAAGCTGTCCCAGCTGTGACCCTTCCCAACTTCTTGAGCACCCCAGCCTCCTTGCTGGTGAGATGGCAGAAAAAGCCTCGACACTGTGTGAACAATGCTCAGCAGTAATTAAAACATCCCTGTATTATCAACACTGTTTCCAGCACAAGTTCAAACCATAGCCCCATACCAGCTACCGTGAAGAGAATTAACTCTATCCTGGTCAAAACCAGCACACATCAAAAGGAGAGAACCATTCATATAAGTATAAATACAAACAGACGTGAAGAAAACTGTCAGTTGATGTAGTGAAGTATGAATTTTTAATGTAGAATTATATACATATATATAATTTCTTACAGATGGCAATTTCCTAAGAAAACGGAACAACTGGACAAGGAACACTGGAAACAACAACCCTCAATCAATGCATCAATGCTCGAGGGCTGAAAATGCAACATAGGAAAATGACGAGAGTTGAAGACGTAACAATTACTACATGTCTGTACAATGGAGACATGTAAATTTGCACAGCTAAAGATAAAATCAGACCAAATATTTGGAATGGAGGAAGACCTTCAAACACAGAGGTCCTCTTCCATTCTGGATATTTCCTGTTCCCTACTGTTTACTCATGGTATTTGGAAAATTATAACTCTAACAGCGTGCGACCCATGTACTCTGCTCCCCTCCTCTGATCTTTCCTGATAATGAATGGAGCCTTTGCTTCTGAAAAGAGGAAAGGAGAAGAGGAGGGAAGTCAATTAATCACAGCCATTTTTCTAGACACATTTGCAGCTATGGAGCAGCCTAAATATCACACATGAGCACGTATACATTATGGAAAATGCATGTGCATTGGCCTGACAGCAGCTTTTTAAACAACACATTAATGTCAACCCTAGCACTACAGCGTATATAATGTAGTTTGCAAGCTGCAACAAGCAAAATTTCCTTATGAAGTTCTCTGAACTTTTCCCAATCACCATGCATCTATATAACTAATAACATTTCTTATTTAGTAAGAAAGGCAAAGTGAGGCAGAAATCATGCAGTTTTAGAAAAGCTACAGAATAAACAGGAATAAAGACTCCAAGAGTGTAAATGCAGAGCCCCAGGAGAGCAGTCTTCTGTGGACAGTATGGGGCAAAGGAGCCGAGTTTTCACAAAATGAAGCTGTGCCCTGACTTTTAGGAAACTTATTGATCCACCAGACAACAATAGTGCAGAACTCCCATGGGAAAAAAAAAAAAGCCACACCTCCCAATCTATACTGGACTCCAAACACATGAAAAATTAGAGAGAACTTTCCCAACATGTAATAATCTCCCCTTCTTATCTTATTTGTCTGTACAACTGGGTATAAGAAAAATTACTTGAAAAAAAAGTTTATTTGAGGTTCCCTATAGGATTTATTTTATGGTTATAGATACTTACATTTAGGAAACTTCTATTGATTAGGTATACTATACTATGTACATATTGATCTCTGATATGCAACCTTTCACTGTTTTGCAACTCTCTGTTCTTAGAAAATCTTTGCAATTTGGTAAAACAATACCTTGGTTTTGACCTATTCAGATCTGCAGTAAGGACAGACTAGTGCATTTTCTTTTGTTTCCAGAGGCACAGAGACTTTGTATAAGCATGAATATTTTTAAAGTCATAAAGTACCCAACTAATTGTTTCCAGTGTACTCTTTCTGAAACACAAATTGGCAACTAGGAATCGTGTGAACCTACAATGCATACATAAATATAGATTTGTTTGGATGACACAGAAGTTTACAGACATTGTCAGATCAAGATACTGCATTTAAAGAAATATTTTAATTTTCTCAGTCAAGCATAATATTAGTATGTGTGGTATACTGGGGTACCCCTGAAGGACAATTTTCTTGAGGTTCAGTTTTTAGGTTTTTAAATATGTTTGAGAAAAATATCACTGCATCTAGGGTGTTCATTTTTTAGAGATATGATACAGACAATTAAAATTATCTGGCTGTTTTCTGAATTCTATGAATTTAGAATTTGAAAAAGAAAGCTTAATTTAAAGTTTCCTAATAGTATTTTGCATCTTTGGAGAAACCTACAATAGTACTGAAATATGGACTTCTATATTTAGGTACAGTTTAATGTACACTTTGGCTAAGAATTTAGCACTTTTAATTATAGCACTCACTGTGACAGATAAAATTC